AGAATTTGGGTACCACCGACCGAGAGGTCAGTGGTGGAAAAAGATTCTCCGCCCCGGCCCTCCTCCGGGGGAGGGAGTGGTGTGCTTACCATCTCCTGAAGAGCACGTCCCTCCACCTCTGGGTCGCCCGTCTCCGGGCCTCTTGCTTTCTCGCTTGCCACCAGGTTTGGCGGGGGCCTGGACGGCCGGGGCGGCTGCCCTGCGACCAGCTCCACGGCATAGCTTTGCTGGAGGCTGCAGGAGCGCTGCTCTTGCTTTGGCGGTGGCAGGGGGGCCGCCCTCGGCGACGGCAGCAGCTGCATGCCGGCAGGATGTACCTGATGGCCTCAGTCTGCTATGGTCAACGGAGAACCGCTGGGCAAGTTCTCCACCGTGTCGCCGAGAGGCCGGCCTGGGACACGGGGGCGTTCAAGAATCATGTCTTGTCCGTCTCGCGCATGTCAGCCAGTCACAGCCAGAAATGGCGCTCCCGGACCACCATAGGGGACATCGCACGACCCAGAGACCGCGCCGTAACCTTCGTCGCTCGTGGCGCGAGGTCCGCCGCGGTGCGGAGTTCTCTCTGAACTTCCAGGTCGTGACCACCCTCGTGCAAGTCCCTCAGTGCCTTGGCCTGGTGCACTTGCAATGACGCCGTAGCGTGTAAGGCGGAGGCAGCTTCTCCACAGGTCGTATAGGCATCGCTGGCCAGTCGAGTACCTACAGACCCGGGAGGGGAGGCACGGTTCTCCCTGCCGGTTGGAGGCGGTATTAGGACACAACTGCATCGCAACCGACCGCTCCACCGGGGGGACCCTTGTAACCCCCTGACTGCCCCACCATCGAGGGTGGTGAGGAAGGAGGATCCAGCAAATCAGTTTCTGGCAGTAAAAAGGTGCCGTCCACGACCTGTTGAGCTCCTCATGCACCTCCGGGAAGAAAGGCACAGAGGCGGGGCGCTGAGAACCAGCGCGAACCGCTCCGGGAACCAATCGTGCAACCTTGAGGGCTCGGGACACGGTGAAAGTCTTCACTCGAGCCCTACCCCTACGGTGGCCCGGGAAAGCATAGCCATTATTTCTGGATCCGATCCAGGCATTGCTACGGTCCCGGAGGAGAGCAGCGCACCAATGTGCATTGGCTCGTTTAGTTTACACTCGAAGTAGATTGGTCCCTCTAAGCGAGATCCCAATTCGTCGGTCCTCCGACGTGACGTCGAGAGTGACCGACTGAAATGGAACACAACGAGTACTGCTCCAAAGTCCCTAGTTCCTGGGGTAAGTTCCTGTAGTGGAAACGGGCTTAAGCAAGTGTTTCACTGACGTGATCTGGAGATCTTTGCTAATTTTACCCCGTGTTACTGCAATTCTGTCTACACTGGATGCAGCGCTGATTGACACAACAACAAACTGATGTCTTTATTTAGAACATACAAGCATTCGTGCCGCTTCTGACCTGAAAGAGAAATGGATTCGCGACATGACGCAACAGTGCTCGCATCCGATCTAGATATGTTAGGATCACAAGGAAGGTAATTCTAATACTATTTTTCACAGTTCACACTACACAATGTCTCGTAATCTTGTAATGTCATATCTATAGTTCTGTTGGTGGAGTAATCCTGTGTTTGCATCTCTCTAGTATTTCCTCTCTTCCTACTACATGTGCGTAACAGTGGGTGGGGCTAAAGTGGCAGTGATGTAGACATAGATGTTGATCTTCTCCTGCGAAGGTGGAGCTTAGTCACATATTACGTCATAGAGTGGCACATTCCTCAACGAGTTGTTTTCTGAGCATGGTTTCAATAAAAGCTGTTATTAAACTAACAAGAAAGTTTTGAGTTTTGAAACTTACAGGATGTTTTATAGTATATTGACCTGTCATATGTCAAAAGGTCAAGGGAAATTTAATTTCTCAGTTCATGACCCCTTTAAGTAATGATGACATGATAAATGTATTTTGTACTTTCAAGTCTACATTAAATTGTAGTGGAGTAAAAAGTATTATTTTTCCTTGTATGTGTAACCGAGTAAAACAACAACAACAACAAGTATTCGGTTTTAACAGAACTCAAGGAAAATACAGATTCCCCAAAACAATATTTAACTAGTAGTGAAGTACTTTAATTCAAATAATTTTCACCTCTGCCACGGTGCTTGGTGGGCAGTGCTTCCAATGTGCTGCATAATCTCAGTTCTCAGTTGATTTGAAGTCTACATTTCCATAATTATTGATAGTAATCTTTTTGCAGCTTTACAGGCAAAGGTTCTTGTTTACATGCATTTCAATGAAAAGTGCAGCCTGCAGGCGAGTCGTTTTGAGTGAACCATACTAATAGAACTATTTAATTTGTTTTGCTGTTTTCATGCTACAAAACATATTACAAATGCAAGCTTTTTCACATTAAAAGAATCTTAGATTCTTTTTCAGATTACATAAATCTCTTCTGTGGTAAAAATATTTTAGATATTTAAAATTAGAAGTTAATTCACCTTTATTTATGTAGTACTTTATATCATACAGATTGTTTCAAAGCAGCTTTACAGTGATAAACAAGAAAATAATGATTCAGTGATGCAAACAGAAATCAATTCTGCTTTAAATCATGTATAAAAAGTCAATAGTAAACAGAAATTATTCATTATTCAGTCATTGTAGAAAATAAAATAGTTTAGGTAGGGTGAGGCACAGGAAAAAATAATGCACTGATTAAAAAAATAAATAAATAAGAAAATTATATATATATAATTTCTTGGTCTCTCTTGGTTTCTAACTTAACCCAGCGTTTATTGTTCATTATTTTCTGCAGGAATGCTATAGCCCATTTGTGAACGGGAGTTTCTTTGAGCATGAGGGGCAACCTTTGTGTGAAGCTCACTACCACCAGTCCCGAGGAAGCGTGTGCCAGGCATGCCAGGAACCCATCCTGGGGCGCTGTGTCACCGCAATGGGTGCCAAGTTTCATCCACAGCATCTGGTGTGCCACTTCTGCCTGAAACCCCTTAGCAAAGGCTGCTTCAAAGAGCAGGACAACAAACCATACTGCCACCCCTGCTTCATTAAACTCTTTGGCTGAGGAGAGTGAGGAAAGATGATAAAGCAGATTACTCAACTGCCATCCAGCTTTTCATGAAAAAAAAAAAAAATTGTTGCCAAATATACATTGTATGGCCAAATGTACTGTATGTTAATTGACTTATATATCAGTTAATTAACCTTCTAATTAACAGATATAACTATTCTTAATCTTAAAGGTGCATTATGCAGGATCCCCCCCCCCCCCCCCCCAAAAATACAAATACAAAAAAATAATCTCTTTAAATTATTACTTATAACCCATTAGTGTGTGGTGGTGTTTGTGCATTTCTGTGCTGCAACCTTTTTGCCAGATGCTGCTTCAGTTTGGGTTGCATGTGTTCTTTGCAGCTGATACCATGTCAGGGGCAATGAGGAGCATTTGAGGAGTAGCTTTAAGATTGAAAAAAGATAGGGGTAGTCAAACCTGGTAATCATAAGGGGCTGAGTTCGTTGCATATTTTTGGCCTGTTTTTCAAGTGCTTTTCAAACCTGTCCTGGTGTCTGATAAAGGAGACATCCAAAATGTGCAAGGGTGGGGGCAGAAGCATTGATAAATATATCACTGATAAATAACAGTGACTGATGAATAAATAGATTTTAGAGGGAAAGTCTGAGCCCCTATCAATCATACTGACCAGCTCAGTTCATGGATTTGCCTATTGATCAGCTGACGACTAATTTATCTGGGTTAACCGTCCCCGTATCTCAGTCATGAGGGTCTAAAGAGATTTTAGACAGAGAAGAGACAACCAAAATGTGCAGTACTGGGGAGGGTCTAGGAATAGTTTGAAAACCCTGGACCACAAAAGTCAAACCATACTTTATCCATATTATAATAGATTTAATAATAATTGTAGTTATCAACAGTGTTGGGGGTAACGCATTACAAGTAACGCGAGTTACATAATCAGATTACTTTTTTCAAGTAACTAGTAAAGTAACGCATTACTTTTTAATTTAAAAGAGAATATATCTGAGTTAAATTTTCAAATAAGTAACGCAAGTTACTTTTTTTTTTTTCAATTTATTGATTGACAGCTCTCCTGTCCCCATGTTGAGAGAAATCAGAAGATGTTAATGTAGTTCTAAAATAAATATGAATATGCATTAATTTATCCCTCAAAAAAAAAAACACAGATTCAGTATTCCTCAAAATGAATAAAAATAATGCAACTCAGAATATGACGCAAACCTGCAATAATTAAATGTTAAACAACACAAATATGCTTTATGTATTTAATCCCATTCTATTAACCAATGTCTTTGCTTCTGACCTTCGATGATCCAGTTCAACCATACTAATCAGCACAAATTACTCTAGACAAACATTTGTGTCTTTTTTTATTGCTGAAGTGTGTTGAAATTTCTTCTTCTGCATTCTACTGTACGGATGTAAATTTACATTTCCTTCAGCCTGAGGCTTATTCATTTCAGTTACTTTTTTATGGATTAACGCAATATTGTAATGCATTACTTTTAAAAGTAACTTTCCCCAACACTGGTTATCAATACAACAACTTTATTGTTTGTTGTTAGGAGGTTTTGAAATTAGGGTGGGCAACACCATCAGTTCAATAACCAATCTGAAGGTTTTTTTTTAATCTTGACCAATCTTGAAGCAACAACAAGGAACCTTGAACTGAAAGTAGTTCACATATCAAAAGAGAAAGTTTGAATAGCATCACATTTGCTGTTCTTTGACTGTGTTCACAAAACAAAACAAAACATTAATGTTTATGCTGGTAACAGTGCCAATCTCTAAAATCTGGTCTATTTGCCTATAAATTGCTTAGAGAAGTTATAATAGTTTTAACCATTTAACCTTATCTGATATGAATAGATGTCATTATGTCAGCATTGCTAAACTTTTGTAATGTTATTTTAAAACAATTGTTTTCAACAAGTCAAAATAACAGCAGAATGAAAGCTAATTACCTGTTCATAAGATATATTTTTGGATGTTCTTTTATTAATTATTGGGGAAGTTTTTATATCACTAGTGACATTCTCACTGATAAGGCTATCACATGGTTCATATTCATGAAACCAAAACAAAACAATGTTCTTCTGCAGGTAACCTGTAATTACTTTACCTGTGAAAACCACTTTCTTGTTCATGCAATGCGCAATGTAAGGCTGTTTTTGAAAGCTGTTCTTTAGAGAACCACCAGATGACGGCATTTATTATATTCTCTATATTGTAATAAATAAATAAATAAAACGTACATGTATACAGAATTATTGGGAAAACATTATTTAATCAAAATAAATGTGTACAGTGTAATTGGTAAAGAAAAATTAAAGACATTGTGATAAAGAATAAACAGGTTACTAGTGCCGAAAAAGTAATTAATTATATACACACAATTATTTGTCACTGGACACTCTTAAAGCAGTTATACTGTCATACACTTACTCATTAGAATATATCAACCATTTATTTTTAAATTTTTTTAATTATTAACACATTGGCTTTATACTGCAGCTTGATGTTAAAACAAATGTTTTTTATTTTACATATTGTCTATTCCAGCTTTCAGTTTGAAGTCTTGTTTTTGTAAAGCTACATATTGTGATTTTGCTGTATCACTTACCAAACAACCAAATAGTAAAATGGTATGCTTGATTGATTTTATCATTACTGTACAATATTCCCAAAGAAAATAAATTTCTTTATTCATTAAAAAATTAAGCGGTATACTTTTGTTTGTTTGTTAGGACCCTAAAGATACTATGCCACCTAATTATTAACTTATGTGAACTGGCTGAAAAATGCCTGTGGGGAGATGGTAACACTTGTTTTCTTGTTAGATTCCCACAATGTGTTTATTTGGATTCCAAATGCAATGAGATGATTGAGCTCAACACTCACTCCCTTATCTGTTTAGTGAAACCTTTCCACTGGGCCAATCAACTGTACTGCCTGGAACTACATAGCCAAAAAGCATGTTTTCCCATTGACTACCATTCAAAAACTTTACTTAAAAATATTATCAGGAGTGATCAATCATATTTCTGGAGATCTACTTTTCTGCGTAGTTCAGTGCCAACCCTGCTCCAACAAACCAAGAATGATTTTGATCAGCATTTAAGTACTCATAGCAGAAGGCTCTCTCAAATGGTTATCCCCATTTAAAGTAACCCAAATATGAAAATTACCCCATGATTTACTCAAAACTTCCTAGGTGTGTATGACGTTCTACTTTCAGACGAATACAATTGGAGTTATATTTAAAAATTTCCTGGCTCTTCCAGGAATGTTATTTTTCATTAGTCCAAAAGAAGTCCAATAAAGCGCATCTATCTATCATAAAAAAAGTGTCCCACACAGCTCCGGGGGGTGAATAAAGGCCTCCTGAAGCGAACTGATGAATTTTTGTCAGACAAATATCCATATTTAAAACGTAATAAACGGTAATCTCTAGCTTCCGCTAACTATCGAACATGCATTCACAAAAGAACGTCGTTCCAGTGGATGACGTAGAATGTAGGCTTAGCGTAAGCTCCGGTGAGAAGTGATGAACGCGGAAACACAGAGGAGAGAGCAAAACAAATGTCTTTTTCTTTACTGTGGCCACGACCTGGCGGTTCTACATGAACTGCATGCTGTGACCGACCTCATGCTTCGAGCGATGAAGGTGACCGCTCTGGGTCGTGCGATGTCCATGCTAGTAGTCCAGGAGCGCCATCTCTGGCTGTGTCTGGCTGACATAAAGGAGCATGATAAGGTGCAGTTCCTGAATGCTCACGTGTTGCAGACCGGCCTTTTCAGCGATGCTATCCAGAGCTTTGCTCAGCAGTTCTCGGCGCCACAGAAGCAGTGTCTGGCCGACATGAAGGAGCATGATAAAGTGCAGTTCAAGGAAACTCAAAAAACTAAAACGATTGATGAAAAAACAATTTCGTAACCTGAAATAAAATAAAAACGTCAAAATAATTGAACAACTAAAACGAAACTAAACTAAACGACTAACTACGTTCTCACCCCTTGGCGGAAAATATACGAGCTGTGTGGAGGTTTAGGGAAATAGCCTACCTGTAATGGTGCATCACGCACATGGGGTTATCTGATGGAGAGACGCAAAGCAGTTTAAAGTCTGCACGGGTTCTGTTTGGTAAACGTGCACCAGCAGTAGGCCTACTTAACAGAACACCCGACCCATTATCTGACAGCAGCACTAATTTAATTCTGTACCAGACCAGAACCGTTTGACATAAAGACCGCGAGTCACGACCCGAACCGCACTCGCGTTAAATCTATTACATCAGGTAAGCAAGAGTATTTATTTTATCATGTGTAACGAATCAGCTCATGAGGAAATATGAATAATTAATCATAACTGTAACGTAGTTTGTAGATCGGGAAGAAGGAGGCGGGAACTGGCGAACACTCAAAAGAAACTTTAATAATAAAATACAATCAAAACAGCGTGACAGCCCCTCGCGGACGACTGTCGCGCACAAACAAAACCAAAACACAAAATAAACTCCAGGCCTGGTCCTCTCTCGTCTTTCCCTGTCGTCACTCCTCCTTTGTATCCTTCCGGAGCTCCTCCGTGAGACTCGAGACCGGTGAGTGGCGCAGGTGTCGCGCATTCGCAATTACTCCCCCGGCCTC